AGATTTATACCCCTGATGCGGCCTCAGACGATGATTTCAGAACTGATTCCCCAGCTGTTAAACGAAGCTATAAACAAAAATACAGTCTTTCGCCGCATCTGATGCGATAGCTCAACGGTTGAGGTGGTGGTGGCGCATTTGTACGGACTGAAGTCAGGGATCCACCCAATCCACCTGCGCACTTTTTACTTCTTTAGTCACACATTAACAAAATGGTCATTTTAATGAATTTTCCGGTGCTCATGCAGATGAGAGGGCCAAACCGCGGCCAACCCCTTAAGACGGAGCCCTGAACGCACTCGAGCAGTTGCCGCGCTGCCGCGTGCCCCTCCCCCCCCCAAACTACGTGGGTACCCGATGGAGGCCCGTCGCGCGGCGAGAAGGCAAAGGCATGGACGAGACGCAGAGCGTGCTGTGTGATGTGGACATACCATAACTGCATTTCATTTAACTTGACGCGCAATCGCAACAGTACGCGCTGCATCTCATCCGCACTCGCCGCGCGACGGGCCTCCTGTCGGATACCCAAACTACGTCAACACCAACATTCCGTCATTGCTCAACTGTTGATTCATGATGAATTTCCTTTGAACTTCCTGGATTTGACGTTGTGGACCTTATCAGATGAAAGGTTTTACTGGCATGTTACGCACTGAGGGTATAGCGGTATTATGGTGTAGCACAGGCGAGAGACTTCGTCTATATACTACACTTTATTTACAAAGGTATTACATTGCAAAGAAAAAGCGGAGTCGAGTCGGCCACTCAACAACGGCATATCTACCCTCGCCTTCAAATGACCAGAAATTGTGCAATTGCAGAAATTGACGTGGCATTGGCACACGTGGCTAAATTCTCGATGAAAAGGTGACATCACGTGTGCTCAAAGATGTTCTTGAATCGATGCCACGTTAATGCCACGTCAATTTCTGCAATTGCACAATTTCTGGTCATTTGAAGGCGAGGGTATGTTGGATGTTGGATTTGTGGGATTTACTGTGGAAGAGGTGATGCTGAATAATGCGCCAGTGGCAACAAAAAAATATATAAAA